CCGTCCGCGATAATGGCGTGTGGATGTCGTTGATGCCGATTTCCTTCTGTTTCGCAGTCAGCAGGAGGGAAGAAAATGAAAGCAGGGTGCAGCATTGTGGATAAGCCAGAAGGAGGAGGAGGTAAGGAAGTCTAAAGGCTGAGTTGTTCAGCTGTTACGAATTCTTTTACCAGGATAAAGGAGCTCAGGAGGGATTAATTCCACCTCTCCCAAAAGCTCTCGTACGTGGGCAAAAGCCGCGTGTGAGTGAGGGATCGATCAGGCGTCTGCTCGATGGGCTGCCAGCGAGTTTTTAAGAGCACCGGGTTTAATATGTAAATAAATCTTCCCGGAGATGTTTTATTTGTAAGGATTTGGGATCTCTAAGGTGGATCCTCTCCGGTCTGGTACAGCTCGTGCCTGGTTTTGTCTCTGTCGCAGCGATAGTGGTGTGGGTGGCGTTGGAGTGTGATGAGACTTCTTCCACGCTGCCGGAGCCTGAAATTGTGGCTACGATGATTTGGAATCAAGAAAAAATTTGTAATAAAAAAAAAAAAAAAAAAAAAACCACCTAGCGTTAGCAGTTGTGCTGGGAAACTATTCTGAGAAAGCCGAACTTGGCAGTCGCTCAGAAACATCTGCCGGCGCAGTTGAAGCTGGAGTGGGCTGCCGCGCTCCGAAATAAGGGGGAGCTGGAGTCGCCGAGAGCTCTCCGCCCTCGCCCGCCTCCCCCCCCCCCAACATCAGCGCACCAAATGCTCAAATCTGGTTTATTTGCCTTATTTCAGCCACCTGGAGTCCAAATTGTAGCGCTGTCTAAAGCTCTTGGGCTCCTTTCCGCTGCTTCTCACGCTTATATCCCTTTCGGTTTTACCATCTTTTGGTGGTGTTTGGGGATTCTCCAAGGAGAGGGGGCTGAAAGGAGTAGGAAAACGAGCACCTAGAGTAGGAGAGCCGGGATTTTCCGCTTCCACGCCGCTCCACAGCGATGCTTTGTGGTCTCGCTCGGGAGAAAACACGATAAATACGCAGTAGAGCTTGGCAGTTGTGAGCTCCCGGCACTGTCCGAATGAATTATTTTTATTTTTTTCCCTCTTTTTGGCCCTTTCCAAGGTTATCATTTCCCAGAGTGGGCTTACAAGACTGAGTCCAGCCCCGGCTCCCGACAGATCCAGTTATGGCATTTCATCCTGGAGCTGCTGCAGAAGGAGGAGTTCCGCCATGTCATCGCCTGGCAGCAGGGCGAGTACGGGGAGTTCGTCATCAAGGACCCTGACGAAGTGGCCCGGCTGTGGGGTCGGAGGAAATGCAAACCCCAGATGAACTACGACAAGCTGAGCCGGGCTCTCAGGTGAGCAGAAGTGTCCGTGGAGGTGAGGGGCTGGTAACGAACCCTCCTTCCATCCTTCCCTGCTTCGTTTGAGTAACTGATTTGTAGATACTCAGTCCCTGGTTCGGCGGCACCTGCGTTTCTGGGAGGTTTGTATCAAATTTTGAGTACTGAGATGCCTGGGGTAGGTCTGACTGTACCTGGGCGTGATTAGAGACAGGGGAGGGTGTCCCTGCTTCACCGTGCCGTCTTCCGCGTCACGGTGTAAATTTGTACCTCTGGTTCAGGTTGTCATTATCAGGATGGCTTCCTTCCGGGGAGCTTTTCTGTCTCTTTTCTCAGCTTCCATTGCGCTGCCGGCTTGAGCAATGAAGGTGTGGGAGGAAACGAGAGGTGTTACTCTATTATCACACCATCAAGGGTACCGTTTCAGAGAAAGCAACTCCCCTTTCTAACATAATTTGTATTTGCCTCTTTAGCGCTAAATCCGTGCGAGACAGAGGTTTGGTGTCAGTCCCAAGGCGAGACTGAGGCTGTTTCCCGAGCCCCGATGACACAAATTCGGGTGTTGTTAAGGAATTTTCTGGTCACTAGCGTCCCTTTGTGTAAGACAGGGGCTGAACGTTCCTCACTTCGCACTTGACAGCTCCGAAGCCTCCGGTACAACTTTGCCCTCTTACGTTTAGACTCTTTCCGTAGCGTTTGTTCGGGTTTTTGGGGGTTATCACCGTATATTTCGCAGTCAGATAGTGGAAAACTAGCACGACCCTCTGAAGCATTTCACCATTTCAAGCCTGTCACCTGCAGGAGTGGCCGGGTTTCCTGACAGGTTCTGGCATTATCAGTCTGTAACGTGGACTTCGCTGCCTTACGCCCTCTGATACCTCCTGGGTGGAGCTGACAAAGACAAACAAGGCAGCAAATACAAGAGTCTCGTACTGGAACAGGAAGGAAACAATAAATTGAATGGTACCGAGGCTGTAATTGGTGCATGGGAGTGGAAAATAGCCTCCCCCTGCCAACACCGATCATGTCTTGGCATCTCGATGCCGAGCGTGACAGCAGCGGGTCAGGAACGCTGCGGGTATCGGCGACCGCTTCGGCTCCTTCCTCCCTCCTGCTCGGAGCCGGCCCCGTTTTGTTTGGTTCGCGCTGTGGCAACAGGCAGCGTTTGTTAACCCACCTCCTAACTACAGGGAACGGTGGCGATGAGCCACGTGTAACACCTTTGTTTGTACACCAGTATTAGGAGGCCGAGGACAAACAGTGGTGGTGGTGTAAGCGGGGAGGAGGCTGCGGCGGGGATTATCTGGGTAATTCGGTCCCTTTTGCTCAGCTCCGTCGTTGCGCCGAGTTTTGTTCGGCCCAGGTACACGTTGTCCCCCTTTCAGGTTCTGTGTCTTGGCACGGGCTCACCTCGATTTTTCCCCTCGTGTCCTGGGTTCTGTAACGGTCCCCCGGCAGTCACGGCCCACGCGGAGCGACCGTGCGTGTCTCGCTGGCTGCGGGGCGCTTGCGTGGATCGGAATGGGGGGGGCAGTGCCAGCGCCATGCGGGCTGCTTGTACGAGACCCGCCCCCCAGCCCATAGCACTGGTCCCAGTTTGGACAGAGGCGACAACAGCGTGTACGGGCTTGGCCTGTTGCTCAGTTTTCGCTTCCCTTCAGGATCTCGCCTTTTCCCACGTGTTCTAAGGAACACGATGACCTGTAAAATGATTTGAGACCTGCTGCTAAAGGTGTGTTGTAAAAGGAGTGGGTGTCATTTGGAAACTTCCCGATCTACTAATGTTTTCTGGTATTAATAACGTAAATTCTCTGGGCAGCTTCGTTTTTGTAGATGGATGTTGATGGCGCTAAAAGAAACGAGACCTTTAAAAACAGATCACCACCTGCTTTCATCGATCTCTCCCTTTCGTTAACAGATACTATTACAACAAGAGGATTCTCCACAAGACAAAAGGCAAAAGATTTACCTACAAGTTCAACTTCAACAAGCTGGTGATGCCCAACTACCCGTTCATTAACATTCGGCCTAATGGTGAGTGCGAGTCCGGGGCTGCTTCATTTAACTATCCCCGCTCCTGGCGTGTGGAATGGGGCCGGGCCCGACCCCGCAGCCTCTGCGGATTCCCTATCAATCATCTCCGCTTGAAAGAGTGCCGGAGCAATCAGCGCTGCTGCGGTGGGAATGTCTGGACGCTGATAAAGCCTTATCTGGAGCGCTCTTTCCCTCGGGTTTTGTCGCAGACGCATCTGTGGTTGTCTTTGGGGCAGACTGGAGGCATTTTGGTTTCCTATTCGAGCTTGCTTGTTGGACTCTCTTTATGGCTTTGCTTTGCTGCCGGGGGGGCGCGGGTGGCCTTGGGATAAGAGGGGTTTAGCTGTCGCAGGGACCTTGCCTCGCTCACATGCTCGTAACGTAAGTTTATGGTGCCATATAAATGTGACCCTTCTCGACAAGGAGCTTAGAGACGCACGGCGAGGCATGCATGTCAGCGCTATCAGCGAGTTCGCAGCTTAACAGCAGTTTGCTCTCCTCCCTGCTTCTGCAAAAGCCCCTTGTTTGCTTCAGTTCTGCTCCTTTCATATCAAAAGGAACTTTTCCTGACCAGCTTCCATCTAGACTTCAGAGGAACGTAATAGCGAGCACAGAGCAGTTTCCAGAGAAGAGTAGGAACTCGTCTGAGTTTGACTAAAATCACAGGTATTTCTCGATTCTCCCTGCGGCAGAACGGCGTGCTGACATTCAGGATAACAAAAAAGAGGTTGGGAACGGAACGTAATTGTTCCCTTCTCGTCCTAAAAGGCCTTTGAGTCTCTCGCCAGGAGCGGGAGTTCGCTCTGGGTTTGTCCCAGAGTCGGCTGAACTGCCGTGGCTTCTCTGGAAGAGGGTCCTTTGTTTGCAAGACCTTTTTTTGCTGGAGTTAAGTCCCGTCCCCCCCCCGTAGCTAGATTTCTACAGCTGGAGTGATCGCCTCTGTAACTGCACAGCCACCACACAACCAGTGAAATTAGTGACCATCGAGACCATCAAAAAAAAAAAAAATAATAAAAGGCAGCAAAACCCTTCTGGAAGTCATTACAGCAAGGCCCGAGACTGCAAACTCTCCGCGGCAAAGAAAATGCGAACACAGAGGCGCCTGAACCAGCCTTTCTCACAGCACTTAGTTCTCACCTCCTGAAGAGTGCCCCAGGGGAAGCCTTGAAGATTTGTCTAGCAGGGAGAGAGCAGGGGAAAGTGGGGATTGAATGTTGACTCTGAAACCCCGGCGGCTGAGAAAAACAGGTTACGTGTGGGCAAGAGTATTTCTCATCGGTGCTCGTGTAGCCTGTGCCTACGTACGGTGGTGACTGCTCGTCGATCTTGGCAGTCGAAGCGACCTGCATCCCTCCCCGCCCCTGGGGAGTCCCCAACCGGGCGCAAACACGAAGGCGATTTCAAGGCATTGTCTTCTAAGCAAACAGTAACCCCGAAACGGGGTCGGGAGGATGGAAATATTCATAAAGGCGTTCTGCTTCACCTGTGTGGGACACGCTGCCTTCATGGCAGCGGGGAGAAGGAAATGTATTCTCCAGGAGGCCTTAGCCAAAGCACGGGGGTGTAAGACGTAGTACGAAGCTGCGCTGCAAATCTATAATTACTTGCAGCAACGAGTCTGGGCAGTTCCAGCTCAATATTGCTCACTGCTGTTCCTTTTCCCTGTTTGCAGCCACTCCCTCCTATCTCTGGGGCATGCATTTAAAAAAAGAAGTTTGGAGAACTGGAATGCACTTGTCTAATTACAACCTGTTTTCTTTCCTTCTGGCTGGGATGGGGGTTGGGATATCAAACCTGTTTGGGGCGCTGGAATCAGGTTTCTTCTCTCGACTCTCCCTCAACGCAGTTTTGAAGGGAAGGAAGAATCAACGGGCGTGTTGTGGAGGTGAGAAAGCAGGTGGAAGAATTTGCCTCCGTACGGCTTGTTACGGCAAGAGTAGGTCGTAGACAAGGCGGCTCCGTAGGCACGGCGGTGGAAGAGGAGCCAGCGAGAGCTGGCAGCGTTACTGGCAGGAACGTCAGAGAGAAGACGTCTTCCCAGAAAAGCACAAATCAGTGACTTTCAGTCAGCCCCCAGAGCTTGAGGTTTACCAGCAGCGCTTCTGCCGGTGGCGTTAGAGCGCGATTGCTTAACCGTGCTCCTAACGCACCGTCGTCGAGACGTTTTCTGGTTAAACCAGAGCGAGGAGGTCAGGGGAGGGCGTCTGAAAGTGGAAGTTGCTTCAGTGGCGCTGGAGGTTCACGAAACCTCAGCCGGGGCGGAGAGAGGAGAAGATTCATCCCCAGCAGTGGCGAGGTTTTGAGGTGGGCAGAGGAGACTGAAGCTACGCAGGGGAAGGGAGCAGATGGGAAAGGCACCTCCCATCTAATCGTCTGTTGCCTTGTTGATAGCGCGCGGGTTTTTTTGTGTTGCTCTTCCAAACGCCTGCGGGCGCAGCCCGAAAAGCAGCTCTTTGCCTGTGATTTAACTCCCTCAGCAACCGCGCTCTTAACTCTCTCCCGTACTCTTTTCCCCCCCCCCACTCTG